TGAAGGGAATTTGGTAAGGTAAGTAGTAACATTCCCCAGGCTAACGGTGCCCTTGCCTGGGGGTTTCGTTTTTAAACAAAAATGAGACCCAACTCCGTCAATGAAACCCGTTATTTTTTCTTCGATCAAATGATGACGTGGAAACGGATTTTCATATTAGCCTAAAAACTGTTTTCTTGAATATCAGAAAATAGGCCAGAAATAGGGAAAAAGGTCAAACTGCTTCTAATGCTGTTTTTTTTACACTGGTTTACCGACCTGTTATCGTTCAATGCAATCCGCATTTTTTTTTTTTTTTTCAGTAGGAACCATTCGCCGAGACGCCTAGTCCTGGATGATGCATTTTCGAATGCCATGGATTTCGTGAGGACAGAGTCCCGACGTCGGCCGAAACGTGAGTCACGATAAAAATGTTGAAATATTCAAAATTCTTTGTGCAAACATTCACCTTAAACTGTCGTCGAGAAAAAAAAAAAGTTGAAGCTTATAGGAAACGTGTCACTGAAGTAACACAGAATTAAGAAAGATTGCTGTGGATAAAAGCATCAGTGGAAGTGAAAAGTAGATTCAGCATAGGACAAGGACTGGGAATTCTCGGTAGAATCTTTGATTCAATTTCAGTATTTATTTAAATTGTCCCAACAATTTTTCAAGATTTTAAGACCAAGTTCAAGACACACAAATGAAAATCACTGAACACCGCTCCATTTCATCAATTGGCTGACTTTTTTTCAAAAGCTCTTAACGGCGTCATTCAAAACTATTTGGCGTGGAATTGCTATTTCAGTTTCTTGCAGGAGTGATGAGGGAAGCTTATCGAGGTTATTCTGTTGTTCACTAAATCATTTCATGAAACAGTATCCGATTTATTTTGACTTACATTATGATGAAGAACAATGAATTTATTTCATGTTCTCGTTACATAAATTATCCAGTTTCCAATTGAATATTAGTGTGGGAATATTTTACTGAGGTGCGCGCTGATGATGTGCAAAATCGAAAATTTTTTTTCATCGGAATTCAAATGAAACTCACCAAAATCAAGTAAGATCTTTTGTGAATACCAACACCATAGTTCACCTGGAAACAGGAATTTCATTATTAGCACAAATTATGGAATCCCCCTACAACAAAATTTAAAGGAGGACAAAATAAAATTGTTCTATAGAGAGAATTTCATAGTAGAGAACACTAATATAAGATGAGGATTTCACTCTAACAGACCGAAGAAATATTTTTTAATTGGAGAAACTCGTTTTGGGCCAGATTTTTGTATTGAGAGTCCATCTGGGTAATGATTTCACTGATTATGTACTGTACTACTGTACTGTGGACCAAATCAAATTCATCATCAGAGGAAACCGTTTTATAGGCGAGATTTTTTTTTTTTATAAGCGAGTCCAACTGCATGCATTACAGTTTCACTGATTATGTACTGTAGTGTACTGTATTGCACTGTCTCATTTCTTCTCGATTTTTTTTTTTTCTTCTCAGACCGATCTCGGCTGGATGAACACACCGGTGTGCAGATGTCGCCCGTGGCGGGGACGCCTCCAGGTGGCGGCATCGGCTCTGGACGCGGGCTACCTCGGCCGGGCGCCGATTGGCACCGCGTGGCGGCGGCACACGACCCCCTGCGCCGCGTGTGGAGAGCAGATTCCCCACATGGTTCACTCCACTCCCGTTCGTCTACACCGGACGCGAAGCGCCTCAAGGCCGCCCAAATGCGGCACGGCGTCTTCGGGCGTCACCCTGGTGACGACCTCCGCTCGCCGTCCCCGTCGCCCTCGCCGCCACTGCAGCACCCGCAACTTCATCAGCCCCTGCAGGTGTGTGTTAGATGTCGAGATAACTCATTGAGTAACACCGACTGCTCAAGGGGGCTTTCACTCTCTTCCACAACCTGTACCTTTTTATTAAAAAGCGCAGTTTACACTCAATCTGTGTTGTGAAAAATCGCAATAATGTACTCTCTCTTAATTCCTGAATCATTACCTATAGTTTGTATTTGTGTTTGGATTTTGATTCGTGAACAAATTCCTTGCAATAACTTTTGTCGTGATTTCTGCAGTGTCCCTTGTGAATTGTGTCCTTTCTTATTATACAATGAATCATTCTGGAAAAATATGCACATATATGTTCAAGGTGTCCAGTCAAACCTCTGTAAATCATATTTTAAGGGACCAGCAACAAATTTTGAGATAGGGAAATTTTGAACTATGGAGGTCTCAAATTATAAAGGTTTTGAATAAGGCAAGCAACCTTTTCTTTCGTGGAAAAATATAAAAGAATTGAAGGAAATTTGTGAACGGCGATATTCTTGGCCTGAATTTGCTTCTTAGATGAGCTGATGCTGAACTTTGAGGTAGGGGTTCATTTGGCCAATTACTCCTTCACTTTCTTTCAAAATGCAGCAAATGAATTTCCTTTTTCTTATGTCAAGAAAATAAAAGAGACAAAGCCTGAGAAAATTTGATTAATGGAGGTTTGAGAAGAAAGGCTCAAGTGTTGGAGGAGTTTTTAATGCAATATTACCAAGAGGTTTCAGAAAGGGGCTTTGAAGAATTCTGTCTTAGGGAGGTATCAAACCCAGGGAGGTTTGAATTATTGAGGTTCAACAGTATACTCTTGGCTAAAAAATGGTTGATTGGCAGTTGTATTATTTGCTCAACTTTGCCTTGATTTTTCATCTTTTTTTTCAGGGTTCTGGTAATGTCCAAAAGGCGAAAATCCGTCAGGATTAAGCTGATGTTTCAGCGTCAGGGCTAATCTTATTCTTATAATGTTTCTGAATTGGTGTTCTGCAGAGCCCAGATGATTTCTCTTGCACTTTATACGTACGAGTATAAAGGCTACAGGGATGTTCCTTGAGGATAAAAAAAAATGAGACGAAAAGTGGTGGAATCGTTTTAAAATTGACGTAAAATTTGCAGATTTTCTCGCGTGAAGGGAAGATTTACATCGAATGCTACATATAGCACCCATATTAGATGCTGGCGCTATTTTAATGGTCTACAGATTACAAAATTGCGTGTACTGTACTGTATAAAGGGCTTTGGAACTTGCTATGACTGGGGTTTTCTGCTACTTATTCTCAATCACTAGTTATATTTAATCATGCGGATGATCAAAGACAGGATCTTCTGATTTTGAAGAAATCCCACGCAACGAGAGTGCGTTCAGAATTTGCAGGAATGTTTTTTTTTTTTTAACTGATTCCAGGACCAGGAAAAACGAAGTCGTGCGTTTCTTCTTCTGTTTTTTTTCGAGTATTTGCTACTTGAGAAAACACGATTTCTTGTTATATATATGTTGCTCATTTCGTTTTCTTTTCGTCGAATATCAGCCTCGGGCATTCCGGCAATTGCCACGGCCCGTGACGACGTCGAACCCGACGTTGCCAGTGGGCGTGCGTCGACGGCTGCCGGAGCCGCCGGGAACGAAGCCGTCGACACTGAGTCTCCGCACAGCCGCCCATGCTATCGCGGGATTCAATTTTCCCACGGTGTCGAAATCGCCGACACTTGCCACCCAGCACGCTTTCGGCGGCCAGCTGTCCCAGTCCTACATCAACTTCCCGAAGCTGAATCCGTCGCCAACGAGGCGCCTGCCTCAGGCCGTCGGGCCAGCAACCTTGAGGTATGCCGTCTGTCATTGTAATGATCGGTGATATTGCTGAGAAAACAAAAGTTTTCTGTCGAATTTCGAACAGAAGTTGTGGAGTAATCCTAAATTTCAATATTCTTCTTCAGCAAAACCTCAAAATTTTTACAGTTTCGTGAAAACTGACTGAATGGCAAGCTAGAAATCAATGCGCCTCTTATATTCAGGTTGAATTTTAAATATATGAACGTTGAAATTTCACTTCTTGCTTTGGGTTTGTCATTTTCGAAAAGCTGTGAATAAAAATTATATTTTTTGGTGGATTTTTCATCATTGTTTAATCTTGATTGATTTAAAGATTTTGAAATTCAGGATAAATTTTTCCATTTCGTGTTTCACAAATCAAATGAAATAGTACTGTATTTAATTTATTGCTTGCGGAGGAATATTTTCTTCATTGGAGTGAGACCCCAAAATGAGGACATAATTGGTGCATCAAGAGTGTCCCTAAGTTGAGTCTCATTTTCCCTTGGACTTAAATTATACAATTTTTAATTGGTGCTTTATGTGCAAAATACTCACCATAATTCCATGAAAATAAAAATTTTCTCCCAATTTAAATGGATTCAATCAGTATATTTCAACACAATATGAACATTTGGGGAATTGAATACTGTACCTTTGTACAGTACATACAAATGTTGGCTCTCTCTGTAAAATAACATTCAAGTGAAAAAGAGATAAGGAAGTCCCTCTATGCTGAAGGTATTTTCTTAAAAATCAGCTAAATGGATGGTACATTGGTGAGAGAAATCCCCAAGAACTTTGCTTACATCAATTTTAGGGTTGGAAATATCTGTTTCTTGTAATTTGGCCTGAAATGTATTTGCAATTTTTTCACAAAATGTCCCCATGTGGAGTCAGTGTCCTTGTGTCGGGCCTTTTCTATGAATTTGTATTGGAAAATAAGTGTTCCTATGTTGAATTGTCCGCAGGTTGAGGTGTCTGCATGTGGGGGTCTCACTGTATTTTCTTGGTGCAATGGGTTGACTTCTATTTGGAGAAACTGAAGCACTCTTTAAAAAATTGTAATGTAAATCATCGTCTATAAAACAAAAGAAAAATCGTCATGACACGGGAATTTTCAAAGTGCTGTTGTTTTGGTTGAAGTACAATTTTCCTTTCATATTTTCGGAGTACTTTTTAAAATTTAAATCAGATTAGCTGAAAATTTCGATTGTCTGGAATATTTCTGAAGCGACGTCGACTTATATTCAAAGAAATAATATTCGTTGTAGCACTTTGATTCCGTTCCGCAAGAAGTCCCTTATTCCGGATTCCTCTTGAAAACAGACTTGAAAAAAAAAAACCACCTCAATTCGGTCGTCACTTTTCGCAGATCATTCGTGAATTTCGCCAGTCGACAACTGCCTTCCCCGATGCCCAACGGCTACGGGAACAAGGCAGGCCCTGGGGCAACAGCGACGATGCCTCGTCGACAGCAGCCAGCGTGTCCGTCACCCGTGACGGGACGAACGTCACGGGCCAGTTTGCCGGCACGACCGCCGCTCAACGCGAGCAGCAGTGTGACAGGGACGCCGTCGGTCGCCACGACGACGACCACGACGACAACGGCGTCCGGTCTCGCCGACCGCAACGACTCCGACGACGAGGACTGGTGCTGACGATCGCAAAAAGGGGTTCACTGGAACTTCGATTGAGACACTGGGTCCGATTTTTTTTTTAGATATTTTTCTTGACTTGTTCGTGCTGAAATATCTTTCTTTATCTCTAAGTTGTATTTTTTCTGGTTGTCTTTGCGTTCAGAACATTCCGTCATCGGAAATTGATGCAGTTGAGCAGAAAATTGTATCTGCTTTGCAGAAAGTTCAACTTCACGATTTTTGTGCTGTTTCCGTGCCCATGCATATACACAGCTCTACTTTCATTCCGCAAGCAAATCCACGCCGAAAAAGACAAAACTTATCGCATTACCTTTCTTTTAAATGTCCATCAGTCTAATTGATTTATTCGTTCGAACTATTGGGTCTGAAAATACTGATACAAGCTCATATTTTCAGCATCTGAAATGAGGGGCGGAATCTTCTAAACGATTTGCAAACATTACGACGAATGTAACTCACGTAATTCGTTCATTGATTATTTCTTTGAAGAAAATCGTTCAATCCCGAGTTATGCAAGAGATGTGTTATTAAAACAGCCTTGTTCATCCATCTGTGAGGAAAAGAGGATATGTATATAAAATGTTGAAGGATGAAATGCTTCAGAAAAACGAAGTTACCGAGCGAATTGGAAAGAAAAACATATGCGCAGATTTATTTGGGCAAAGCTGCCGATCAATGATGTGAAAATGTCGCACGAAATATCATGTCAAAAGTTCGTGTTTACCATTCTGGAAATTTGCGTTTTTGAACAATTTAATAACCTGATGAAGATAACCA